GTCCAGATATTACTGGAGAGGCCACAGCTCACAGGATGGAAGAGAAGTTGCTTTGTGCCATACCAGTGGAATTTGCTGGAAATCTGTCCCCTATGGTGCCAGGGAAAGCTGTTCATGAGGAGGTGTTTCACTAGAGGTATAAATATACCTCTATAAAATGACCTGAGGCTGGGAGCGCTGCGGGATTCCACCCACTAGGCACTGCTGGCCTCCATGCACTACAGAAGCTGTGCATTCTGCAAAAGCCTGAGGCTGTGGAAGCCACCACACTGCCGGAGTTCAGGCCTGTGGAAGGAGCCTGCCGAGCAAGGACACTGGAACCAGAAAGCAAAGACTTTCCTCCTCAACGTCTCTCCACTGTTCTCTAATGACAAAGCTTACTATCCATTTCCTTTATCAGTTTCAAAAAAAATGCTTAAGAGACCAGCTCCATTTTCAAAGAGCAGGGAAAAAGAGGCAACTTGGAACTAAGAGGCGATTACATAACTAGCATAGTCTACCCCTTTGACGGTTGAGATTCCATATGCAATTCTTTATATCAAGCTGATGTCTGTTTGACTGTAACTTCCACCAACGTGGTCTTAGGGTTTACGTCTTGGACCACTTAGAATACGTCATCCACAACATGTCAACCATGATACCTAAGCTTCTTGATGAACACGGAGCCGAGTAGGACTACCGAGTAATTTACTTAGCATGGACATCTCTTTGATATTGAAACATGGTATCATGGTATGAACTGTGGCTGCCAGAGCACTTGATAGTTTTTATTAAGCATACTTCTAATTGAAACTTTGAGTAATGTTTTTTAATCCATGCTTCACCTTTTTGTGCCATTTGTTCAGTTTGTATGTTCATTTGTTCAATCCATTAATATTCATTAAATGCCTATTCTGTGATAGGTGAGAAGGACCACTCCCTCTCTCTCTGTAAAGCTGAGATACTGGCTGGGTCCTTTGATCCCTGTGCATCCCTCCTGGGCTTTTTCTAAGCCCTGGAGACCTACCTCCTACGCTTGGTAAGAAATTACATCTTTATCACTATGGGAAGTGAAGATTTTCCCTTCTCTACCACCTACTTAAGCCTTGAAACTCCTCTGAGTAATTATAAGATACTGTTGTTTCCAATTTCATTGGGTCTAAATCCAATGAGATTTACCCTCGCATGGGAAAAAGTGTACAAGAAGTTGGCATAAATTATAAATGCCTGTGCCAATGCATACTTTTTCCATTACTACAAAGTATTATAGAGATTTCTGAGTGTGAGCCAGAAAATTCCCACCCCAAATTCAAAATCAGACAAATGCCCAAGAATCGGATCTCTAGTGCTGCAGCAACTGCATTTTCACACCATTCTCATGCTGAAGTGGGATCTCAGGAGAGCCAGGAAGGGTCCAGAGTTCAGGGAAATGAAGAGGTGGTTCCAGCTGATGGGGCTGAAGGTCAGAGGGAAGACAGGTGATTGCCAAGGAAATGAGAAAAGATGCCAGACATCTAAGAGAAAAGGCCGTAATGCTCTGCGGAGGGAGAAAAGTCTAGATTCAGAGAATATCTTAAAGTTAACTTGACCCTGCTATTTCTCTAACACTGACTGAATTGTGAACTGTAAATGCGTGTAGGTGTTTGCCTAAATAGCAAAATTCCAACACTGTGCACTTTTATTTTGTTTTTCTGAAATTCAAACTGTTTATTTTGGGGAGACAGGTGTCTCTCCTTTTCTGCAAAGCAGTAACAGCACAAACAGCAGGACAAATTTCCCAGTCTCACCTAGTTAATTCCCAGCGGGTCCCCAATCACCTTCTAGACTTTGAGTTCCCAGAGTATGTCACAGCGACCCTGGCCACACTGGCTTGAGGCCACATCCCAGACTTGTCATTTCAGCCGCTTCTACAAATGTTCAGTTATTCCCAGTTTCCTGCCCAGCTCTCTGAGATAGGAGTGAACGTTTGTGGTAATTAAAACAGTGTGAAATTTGCACTGTCAGGAAACACAGTTATTTTTTTTTTCCTCTGCCAGCCATCATGCTATTTATAGCAATACACTTCACCATTTATTTGCTGGGCAGTGACATCAAGAAACAGATATTAGGCAAGGAAGCCAATTTACTCCACAAAAACATCCATTATCTTTATCACCAACAGAGACTGAAAAATAATCAATTAGAATGCTTCACTTGGGAATGACTAATTGAACTGTTAAATATACGGTATTGGGGCAGTCACCCTGGGAACCTAAATATTAATACGTATAACAAGAAAGACTTCTTATGAAGAAGCTGTGATTGGTACCACTTTGTACACAGAGATCGCATTCTCCAATGGACACAAGTTACAAACCAAAATTCTTCTTTCTGACCCTACTGTATTTGAATTTGATCTTATTCCACAGGAAGTCTCATACTTCCATAGGAAGTGCGCTTGTCATGGAACGTTCATTTCTATTTCCCAAACACCCTATCATAAGAATATTCTCCAAAAGCTAATGCTCATAATCAACCCTGACTAGGACATACAGCTACACAGGTGCATATGCACATGCACACACACACACATACGCCCATACACACATCTACACACACACACACACACATACCTCCACACACACTATTCTCAGCTTTTGAATATCTACAAAACAGAGAGATACTTTATTTTCCTACAGATAACTTGACTATAGTTTAGCCAAAGAGCCAACCCAGAGCACAGAATTCTTTTCCATTGTTTATCTTCTTCATTCTTTCATTCAATTTACTAAATATATATTACACGCCTTGGACCGTTTAAGCCTCTTAGGATATGCAGATGTGGAAGAGAAGATGCCTGTCCTTAAGGAGTTCACACTTCAGGCTTAGAGACTGACCATCACAACACAAGTTGATAAATACTATAAAAGAACAATGTACAGGCTACTTTGGAGTGAGAGAGCACTTCGCTGACATTTTAGATGAGTCTGGCAGTTGATTTAAGTGAAAAGGCGTGGAAGAAGGGCATTCCAGGCAGAAGCAGTACCTGTTTCAAAGGGTAGAGGTTTCAAAGAGCCTGGCATCTTTAGAGAATGTATCAAGTGCAAAGTAAAGAATTTGAGGTGGAATGTGGAAGACTTGAGAAACTGAGGAAGGGCTTTGCTTGCTGTGCTAAGAGGCTTGATGGTCCTCCAGGAGACACTGGGAAGCCTCTGAAATATGTCGAGCAGAGGAGTAATCCGGTGAGATTGTTTCAGGAGATCATTCGGGCACTAGTGTGGGCAATGGATGGGAGAGTGAGGGTAAGACAGAGAACGGGGCAGGGGAGAAGGGAAACCAACTAAGGGATTTGCAAAAGTATAAATAAGAACTCACCCAGACCTGAACTGGGTGGAGGCAAAGATGTTGGGAAGAGAGAATTGACAAACTGCACGGTATGAGAGAAGTAGGCACTCAGGTTTGTGGGTTGAGTAAAGAGAGGCTTCACAAAGCCATTAACTGAGATAAAGAAGGACATAAAGAGGAGAAGCCATCCTGGGAGCAAAGTTCAGCTTTGGACATGTTGGATTTGTGATGTCTGTGGGGCCTTGCATAAGAGACATGTGGTGGATAAAGGCATATTAGCATCAGACACTAGACCAGAGGGAGGGGACTCCTGTGTGGCCTTCCTTGAGCCATCTGACAGGATAAAAATTATCCCTATCTCCAGACCTTCACTTCCCATAAAATTCCCTGCTCGGGGTGGGGGTGGGGGGCGGAAAGGGGGCCTCTTTCCTACTCTGACTCCTCCTTAGTTGTTTAAACTGAAGACGCTCAGCCCGGGAGAGTTTACCAATCTACTCAGCTCCTTCTGCGAGTCTAGGGTGGAGCTGACTCTCCCCCTAGGACAGCCCGGCTTTGGAATAAAGACACTCTTGTAAAGAGGATTGTATAGATAGGGTAAGATACACTACCTCAAAGGTCCAGTTGATTTTTATTGATTTTTTTAAATTTGTTTAGGAGAGTTCTAATTTTAGAATTTAGGGGATTCAGAGAATAACCTTCTCTCTTTCGTTTTATTCCAACTCTTATCCCCCTCCTTCCTCCTCCCTCAGTAACCAGGGCCGTGACCTGTTCTGGGGTGAGGTGGAAGCTCTCCCGGGCCGCTCGTATCGAAGGTTCTTGGCAGCGCTGCACCACCCTCAATGACCTCCCTGCCAAGTACCAGTCTTTTTTTCCCCCTAAGCAAATGACCTTCAACAGACATCACTATTTTATAACTCAGGGCAAGGACAGTCTGTCTGTGTTTTGCATCTGCACATATCTACCCTAGTAACAGAGAAATAAGGCTCTTTTTGCTAAGAAGCTGAGCTGTGTGGGATTGGTCTTGATGTTATTTTGTTGGGGTTTTCAATACTCTCCGAGCCCTGGAAAAGCACATCCATTCAATGATGACTCTGGGTCTGGGGTCCCACCATCTCCAATTTCACTGCATGTTTTTCCAGAGAGAGATTTAAAGTTCTCACCCTCTCACATCAAGAAGGCAAACTTTATAAGTGAGAGGGAGACATTGACTCTGCATCTCATTTCAGTGTTTTGTGTTTTTTCTTGAAATTGAGAAGAAGGCAAGCAAACATCAGCAGAGTCGTGAAATAAATTAGGCCAGAATGGTGGAATTTGGAGATTCCCCCTCAGATCTCTGCTAAGCAGTCACCTTTGCTCGTGGCATTCCCTTTAAACACACATATTTAAAAGCAAAGCCAAGGTAGGAATTTCAAGTCATAAAACACTTATACTCCTTTGCCCCGGCAACTGCAGTTCTGGAAGTATATCTCTAGGAAACAACCACAGATGTAAGAAAGGCTTTGTACACAAAGGTGTTCATCACCCTGTTGTTTATGGTAATGAAAATGACAGTGAGTAAAATATCCCTGGAAAATATTGCTGGCAGGAAAATTATGGTATAATGTCAACTAAAGCAAGCAAGATAAAAAGTATTTATTCTCTGTGTAATTTCTGAGCTGTAAATATTAGTTAGGATAAAAGGCTTGAAGGATACGTACCAAAATATTAACAGTAGTTTCAGGCTGGTGGCATTATGAGTTCCAAATCTGAAATGAGCAAAAAAAGAAAAAAATTAGTATGCGTGCTTAAACATTGGAGAATCAGCATCAAGGTTGAAAAGTGATTTATTAAAAATAAAATGGGTGTATTGTGAGGATTGTCAATTTCTTCTGCTTTCAATGGGGTAGAGACCAAAGGAGTGGAACTTTGTAATAGTCCCAGGAGTACTGAAGATACTCAGTGAATATACACCTTTTACCAAAAAGTAAGCCAGGTACTAGGATCACCAGAAGGAGATGAGGGAATTCAGTGATGACGGACTCACAGTCTAGAGTGGTGGGATATCAGTCAGGAATACAGATGATACCATGAGAGAAAGGCAGCCCAAGTACTTCAGGAAAACCCCATAGTCCACAAGTTTTTATGGATGGAAAAGATTTGGTTTGAAATATAGATTACAAGAAGGAGAGTGATGAAAAATCGTGCTCAGCAGTTCATACACCTTGCCCAATGCCTGGTACAGAGCAATGCAAATTTGCCAAACTGCTGTCCAGTACTTAGAACTCTATTATGTTTGGCGAGACTGTGGACATCCAGGATGAGAATTTGTACTTAATTCTGTAGGCAATGGGCACCCACCAAAAGTGTTCGAACAGAGGAAGTAAAAGGTAAGAGCTCTATTCTAAGAAAATCTAGCTGGTTGTAACAAACAGGAGGAATTGGAGGGAAAAAGCTGAAGGCAGATGGGGGCTGGGGTGGGGAGGAGAGAGAGAGATGCTAAGGCAGTAGCAGAAATAAGCATTAGATGGGTTATATAGATAGAAGAGCAGGACTAGAGATGCTGCTGAGACCAGGGCAAAGGGGAGGAAGGAGTCCAAAATGGCGATAGGGGTGCCCAACAGTACTGTATAACCTCTCGTTCTGAACTTGAGTTACCTGCATACGCTGAAAGTTGCTTTTCAGTTTCACAACCATCATGCTTTCCTTTGAGTTTGGAGTTGATGAGGACATGTGGATGCAGGAGGAAAACTTGCGGAGCAAAGTCATTGCCAAACAGGTGAATTTCCTCAGGAAATCATCAAGGGGTCTCTTTCAGTTCCACTCACACCCATCTTTCACCTGGGTTCCTGTCACACGCTGCAAGAGCTTTGGCAGAGGGATCTCAAAGAGCTTTGATCCTTTTACAAGGCAGCTCGTCCAGACTTGTGGCGCCCGCCTCCTCCTTTCCTGGGCTCCCACCTCCCATTCTCAGCTACTCCAACTATGCCTTTGGAATCCATTGCACACACATATATGTAACCTCCGGCCCAGGTGGTCTTTCAAGGCACCAACAAACCTGGAATCTCCCTGAATAAAATCAATCCTCAACTCTGCAAATATGCAGGGAACATTTTGGTTGCCTACCCAGAATCCATTTCTCCCTTCATTCCTGACTTTTATTCAGATATCCACACATTTCCATCCACATCTGTGCTTTAAGGAAAGCTGACCTCACTCCCAGTTCCAGGAGTGAGTCTGATTGGTTAGAGTAATTCTATTGATTGGTTCAGGAATTCTAAGACTACAACTTGGTCTGATGAGACCTAAGGGATATTTCCAGGTACTTCCGCAAAAATAGTTTCTTTTCTATAAAGAGCCACCAGAACATGTGGTGTTTCTCTTCCTCTGGATGAGGTTTTGTACAGATGAGAATCCCAGAAGTACTGCAGCCATCTTGCTGCTAGATTTAGGTTGAAACTCTTGCAGACAGAGGGACTGAAAGACAATCACAGCAATCCCCTCTAATTTTTTTTTAGTTGACCTAAAGCTGTTCATCAATGGGTGGCCATTTTGGAAAATTGTAAGGATGTCTTTATTATCACAGTAATTGGGAGGTGAGCCTGGCATTTAATGTATGGAGATCAAGGAAGTTAGAATTTATGGGATAAGCTTGCATGACAAAAATTCTTCCTTCATCCAGCACAATTTCTTAGTGACCCACTGGGATTCCAGGTAGGTGATAAACCTATTTATTATTATCTGAGCCTAGAGCTTAACTCCATTTCACATACATACAAAGTATTTTTACTTTGTGTATAGTTTTAATACACACCAAATTTTCCATTGTTTAAATCAAGGGAAGATTGTACTTTCGTTTGAAAGTCTTCCAAGATTTGTTCACCTTTTCAGAAAATCATGTCACCAATGGCAATGGCACCAATGGGGCTTGAGTTGTCAACACAATACTCCTTTATTAGTCTGCATTTATAGCTGTCATACTCATGGTAATTCTATCTCCCGGTCCAAACTCCCGAAAACATCTTCATGGGTACCAGTGTAATTGTGAGATGACATTTACATATCAATATGTATGTATCTTTCTATTGTAAATTACCTTCTTTTTATGTCTCCACTACACTGCTGTTAGGGCATGATATATTTTCGTAATTATATGATCAGTGGATTAAACTATGAATTCAATTGCAGAATAGTAAAGGGGATATTACAAGCTATTTAAAATAAAAAGGAGGTGTTGTATTTGCTGGGCGAAGAACGGAGGAGACTCATTCTCTTCAAGAATCCTAACTGATATAGAATTAGGCAGCAAGAAGTGGGAGTTCTTAAAATAGACCCTAAAATGGGGAATTGGCTCAACTGTTGGAGTCAGTAAAAAATAGCGATAAGACTCTCCTAGGTCAGGCTGAGAAGTTACAGATCTCGGTCCTACATTTGAAAAACTTTAGTGAAACCAACTAACTTATACTGACTTTGCAGAGATGATCATGTACCCTCAAAGATATAGCTTTAGAGGAGGTGATACAAAAATTCAGAGAAGTATTGGCTATGTGCTGAAGCCTCCTGTTTGGTCTTACAGGAAATAGAGAAGTCTTCAACTGATGAGTCTGGAGCTGAGTGAGAAGGAACATTTAACTTTCCTAAGGAAGGGAGGCTCTCTTCCACCATGAATTGTACATCTGGTAACGTGGAGTCAGCAGAGTTGGAAGAATCAAATGTTATGCCAAGCTAGAGTATGTGGGAGAAGAAGCAGACAAGTGAGGGCCTTATATGGAAATAAAATTTGGATCCAAGACAAATACGGTCTCCAAAACCTCTCATTGGACTTTCTTGGTCCAACAGGGGAGACAGTCCTGATCACAGTGAGAAGGTAGCTGAATGCAAGCTAGTGACAAAGAGCCAGGATCAGAACCTTCCCACCCCTGATTGGAAACTGTCGTCTCAGATTGTCCAGGTGCTATAACTTGAGAAGGAGGACTGGAAAGAGGCAGGTGTTATTCTTCATCTAAGGCCTTCCTATCCAGTCCAATTTCCTATCTTAAGAACTCTCGTCCTGGGAATGACTCCTCCAGGGAAGACTTACAGGGAAATGGATTTACACATAAGCCACAATAGGACAACCTCATTAGATTATGGTAGTGACCCCACAAGTCATCTGAACGAACCCATGTCTCTGGTAGAATAGCTGTTTCACTTTATCAGGCCCAAAGATGTACAAATCCTTTCTATCAACAATTTCATTGCTGGGCAAATGTATTCAAGAAATGCAAGAACGTGTGCACAAAATGTTCATAGCCACATCCCTTGTAAAAGCCAAAATGCAAAATTCTCTTTGCCTGGGGTTGAGAGGACTCTGGAAACAGTGAGAAGAAGAAATCTATAATGGGATTACCAGTCACATCCAAGTGCTACTTTTTAAAGCCTGCATTGCCAGGAAATAAGGAGAGTTTCTTGATGGTGACCATGACCATGATTATCAGAATTTATCAAACACATCGGTAGCCATCTTGGAGATAAGATGGGTTAGGGTTGTCTTTTTCATTGTATAAAGGGAAAAACCACAGAACAGATTGGTAAAGTGCAAGAATATATGGCCAGCAAGGGGAAAGCCTGGACTCCAGCAAATTTCTTCTAAATTCAAGGGGATGGGCGTTTCCACTCTACCTACTGCTCTGACCTGAAGCTTCAAACTTCAGGTATATTATATTCACGTCTATAACTCTCTTTGTAACCACATATTCCCATTTTGGATGGAAATATTTTTACTGTGTAATAACAATTCCTGATCTTCTAAAGACATGTTTCTTAACATAAACTGATCTTCTCTTGATGCCTCATGTTTACTGTTTGAATATATGTTCTCGTGGTGTGAGGTAGCTTAGATTTATATCAACTGTAGACTTTATTTTTGTCTTCATAGTCAGATCACCTACTCTCCAGTGTCATCTCCCCTTGCTTTATTTTATATTACTGCCAGTAGGACTTCTAAATGGTCACACTTCTTAGAATTACATGCTGAATAAAATCACGTTTTGACTCTTTGGAATATAAAAGTTGTGTTCTTTTAGCAAAAACTACTTCAGTTAAGCCTTTGGCTTTGACTCCTAACTGGTAAACAGGGAGCTTGGGCCCTTTTTCTCAGTGTAGATGTTCCATGATTGTGAACAAAGTCTTGCTCTGTCGTCTCCCCACTTTGCAGACTTATGCCCCTCCTGACTCCACTAGCACAAGGTTAGGCTCTCCGTAAATATCTGAGCAAGCTGTAGAGGAAGGTGGTCATGCTTGGGTGTCAGCTGGATTTCTCTGCAGCCTTCGGTAAGTCTCTTTCCTTTCAGTTTCAGTTTTCCCCTCTATTACATGGTGATGGTATCACATACCTTTCAACATTGTGAGGATGATGTGTGATTTAGTAAAGCACCTAGCAGTGCCTGGCAGAAAGCTGGTGCTCAGTAATGCTGGTTTTTATCCTCTCTCTATCAAACACACACACACACACACACTCACTCTTACTTAGATCACATACCATTCCCCTCATTCCTCATGGATGCACACAGTGTACACACCATCTCCATGGCTTTCATAGTTTGGTGATGTCTTCAAAAGCAGCATCACAAAAAGCCTTCTCTTGTCACAACAAACTGAACAAGGCCAGAGGGGGTGATACCCCAAGGCTGGCTCAGAGTGGAGGTGTCCCTGCTGCCAGGAGAAGATGCTACCTCTGGAGCAGACCAATCCTACACAGCTGAAATGAAGGCAGCCAACCACGGAGCATGCGAGGTTTATATTCCAATTACAGTGCTTTCTTTTACAAAAACAAATGGAATTAATAACTAGTATGTCACTTAGTAATTAAACTTAGATTCTTAAATAAAATCAATAAGAGAGATGAAAGATTTAGAATGTAAATTGAAATAATAAATATTTCTGTCAATTTATTTTGACCACATGGCTTAATAGGTTATCTTGAGCCCAGTAAGGGAGTTGGAAATAAGGCACATAAAGAAATTCCAGAGTCTCCTGTCTTCAGTTTACTCTCTGGTTAAGCATCCTATTGGGAGGATGCTTGCGGCCATGTCTTTTATAAATGAACTGAAGAAGCAAGGGAAATAACTTGAAATTCAGAGTGATGGCCCTCTTGAAAGACTGACTTGCTTTCACTTTATTCAGTAAAAGAGTTTGGACTAAGATTTCATTGCTGATTTCAGACACTGCAGTATAACAGCCAAATCACCAGGAGTATCAGCAGGCAGATGTGGGACATGTCCCCTGCTCTATCCAGTACTAGCTATGTGACATTGGTCAGAATCTTAATCTGAGTTTCAAGGTCTCCATCTATAAAATACAGCTAACACTTTCTACATTGTGGATATGTACAAGGATAAATAGAAACTAATCCAAAATGAAGCACCTAGTATAATATCCTGGCATATAATAGGCACTCAAAATAGTAGTTGGCTTATTATCATTATAGTGATTATTTTATCCTCCTCATCATAATGTGCATGTGGAACTTTCTCCTGGAGTCTGGGTCCTGGCTCCAAAGATGAGCTCCCCCAGCACCCTCCTGCTCTAATCCTCCAGATTTCCCCAGCATCTATACGCCAGACCACACTCAAGTCACCTTGCAAGTTCTTCATCATTTTTGCATTGTTCTCTCATTGCACTGGATGTTAGTGCCATCCTCTTTACTATGTTGCATGCTACTTAAAGAAAGAGACTCTGCACCTTCTGTTTTATGTGCCTGGTCAAGATTTCAAGTACAGTGTTGTGGACAGAACTTTGGACTGGAAGCTGGAGACCTGGACTTGAGTCCAGTGCTCTGTCTTCCACATCACACTACATCTCTGGAGGAATATTACCAACAGGAATG